ATCAATATGTGTGAATGTCATGTGCAGTAAAGTCCTTTCAGCTCTTGTTCAGAATGACGTCAGGGAAGAAGCTCCATCCTTCCCGTGTCGGCCTTCAGACAGACACCATTTAAAGTAAATCAGAGCTGGTTTAGCAGAAGAATCCTGATGGTTCCTGTCTGATTGGCCTCCTGGTGTGAGGGCAACAGCCTCACCATCAACACGGCAAGACGAAGGAGATGATGGTGGACCTGTTCATCTGGGAGCTTGAAGTGGAAACGCTGAGCAGCTCCAAACACCTGGATGTCCACATCGGCAAGGACCTCACCTGGACACTCCACAGAGAGCTCAGCAGCAGCTGAACTTCCTGAGGAGGATCAGGAAGTTTGTCGACCAGGATCCTGAGCAGCTTCTACATCACTGTGTGGTTTGGCAGCACCACTGCTATGGACCTGAAACACCTGCAAACAGTGGAGAAGATCACCAGGAGTCCACCAGCCTCTCTGCAGAACATCTCCAGAGTCCACAGGAGAGCTGTGATGAACTGTCCCACATGTGAAATGCAGTAAGAGCTCTATTTCTTTCTTTTAAACAGGAGCCTATAGTCATGGACTTTGCAGTTTTTATTGCACATTATTGCTGAACATTGCACCTGAAGCTGCTGATGAAAAAACAAAATAAAAATTTGTGTAATTGTTCATGTGGATTTTTTTGTGTGGTTTTCTTTTTTTCCTGCTTTTTTTTATTATTGTTATTTTTTTTGTATATTCTTTTACAATAATTTATTTTGTTTATTATTTTGCTACAATAATAAAACAATTTCCCACGTGGATCATCAATTAATTAATTGATCATAATTTGCATATTTTGTTAATTTGCACATTTTGTACAGCTCGTTATTTTTTTTTTCAAAAATTATTTTTCATATGTATATTTTTTTAAATTTTCATAAAATGTTAAATATCACTTAACGTTACGCCTTTCTTGTAATTTGGTGTTTTTGTTTTGTTTTTTTTGTGTTTTTTTTTTGCTGCTGTATCGAAGTAATTTTCCAGGTCTGGGATAAATAAAGTATTTCTATTCTATTCTATTCTGTTCTATTCTATTCTATTCTATTAAAGTTTATCTAAGTTGCGCTATTTTTGTACAGTTCATTGCCCTTATTTATTTATTTATTTTTTATTCAGATTTATGTCGTTTGCTATGTGTGGTGCA